GAACAGCTCTCATGTAGGATAGTAAATACCCTAAACCTGCTCCTTTTCAACATACTTGGATCAACCCCAAAATACTTCCGAATCCCTAAACTGTTAAGAGAAAGGAGATGCAACTTTCCCTCTCTCTCTGCTTGTGCAGTGAAGACAGTAGCAATAACAGAAACTGGAAAACAAAACAGATGCTATACTCCATACCAGAACAAGGATATTCTTGTGCAAACAGGTAGTTTTCTTCTTGTACGTGTAAGGTTTCCTCACCCTGAGAGAGAGTCGCGTTTGACACTGAAGTAGCAGCAAGCAAAGGCAAGTTGCTTGCGTTCACTTTCATTTATTCAAAATGTCTGTGCCAGGTTATTTTAAGTAGATGACAACATTTCATCTTTGTTAGTTTGTGGTTAGAGGGATGCAATTTACTATAGTGGGAACTGGGTAAGGTGATTCTCAATACCAGTTTGTACAATGTGCCTGTCCTCAGAAGCGTATCTCATCATTTCATCCTGTTATCTGTACTTTTATGGTATGATTTTAGTGCTAATGTGGCACGCAGATAAAATACTGAACAGATTCTAAGAGATTATTACCATCAAGAGAAGGTTCAAAAGACCTTTTTTTGGAAGCAGGGTCTGCCTTGGGTATTTTGAACAACTACATAGAACTTAAGAACAAACATTAGCAGCATCAGAACTCTGCTCTATCCTCCTCTGCTGTACAGCATCTGTGAGCTTTTACTTATTACATGGCCACAGTTTACTAACTTTTTTTTTGAAAAAAAAAAGTACAGGAGTCAATACCTACATGAAACATTACTGAAGGGTAGCAGAGCATTATGTCTTGTGTCTACGTGGTTGCCATGGTAAATCCACGATCAGTACTACATTCTTCGAAGACCAGGCTTTGTTGTCATGTCTTAAGTTTCTTTACTGAAACAGTAAGATCATCAGCTCCATATTCGAAATAGTACCACCATGTGAAAGATTCCAAGCAGTCCTCTGTCACCTTCCCATTCCACCAGCTCCAAGACTGAAATTGCCATGATAAAGCACGCAAGCGTTTCCCATATCCGATCTCAGCATGGTGCTGGATACTCCAAAGGCACACAGCAGCAGCTAGACAACTAGCAGTATTAGTCCACCAAAAATCTGAAAGGGTTTCCCAACTTTCATTAATGATCAACACAGGTAACATGAATTAACTTCAATTTATGAAATACCTAAGCACTTTTCTATGCTAATTAAGTTGCACTATTACGTTAGAAAAATTAGTTTCATGGGCTAATTTTGTGGTTTAATTTCAAATACTATTTTACTGTAAAAGGGTGAAGACAGCTACTGCTGTTTACACACATATATTTAAACTATACTCTTAAAAGGCTGCAAAACCAGTTACCACAAATTCAACTTGGGAGAAGTCACATAAGGAAGCACATCAAAAGCTGTCCCTTAACCACTGAAGATGGCTTCTTCTCCAGCCTGCCACCTTCACAGCCTTGATTGATGGTCAGTGCTCTAGCATCCAAAGGAAGTCGTTTGCCAGAGTGGCTGATCCAGGCAATGACTGCGTGTAAGAGCCAACTTACCTAATTTGAGAAAAATGGGACTGATGCAGACACTTACCTGTACAGGTTTTCAATCCTCCCTTTCAATATTGTATCTAAGGCCACCCCTTCCATAGACAGCAGCCATGTTCTTTGGAGAACTTTATTAAAATATAACCAAGTACTCAAACATTTTCTAATGAGTCAGGAGAGAACTGAAGTGAGAAAAACATCTGTACAGAGGACAGTGCTGTAAGTTTTTGTTTACATGCTTTATTTCAATGTTTCACAGTTTAGTCATTGTCTACAAAAATATATTTCTCAAACTCTGAGTCCTCTATAAAAAAGCTGGTCAGCAGCAGTGACCCTGACAAACAGAATGTACCTTGGGACAGTGTGAGCACCTCCTGTAAGCAGATTAGTGCAGCTAGGGCACTCCTGCCTCACCCTGGCAGACTTCTGTTCTTTGGGATTAAAGCTCTGTGCTAGTTCTGAAGGAAGGCATTTTTTTAAAAAAATAAAAATCCTTCCACTTCTATCTACTGCACTAAGCTTGGGAGGGGGAGCTGCAAGTCAGTGTATCACACAGGAGAGAGTGCTAACAAAGGACTTGGCACTCAGGGGATGGAGAAGACCACAGGGTACTTTAACAGTGGTAGATTTTTCTTTGAGCTATCTGTTCAAAACAGCCTTCGTCTGGTGATCATAGGTTCAGTCTACAAGCAGAGGTACAAATGGCATATGAGCAGAGTAATCCTATAAGCACAAAGAGAGTTCTTCTTTGAGGTCATGATAAGGGTTCATTTTTACCTCAAAATTTTCTGCTGTGGCTTTAATCAAGGGGAAAATTGCCTTCATATCCAGTCACAAGCCTACATAGTGTTGGATAGAACACAGCGACTATCCATGCTGTCAGCTTCAACTCCTCAGTACCCGTAACTGGAAATATTTCTTATGACATCAATTGTTTAATTCCTACGCTTATTAGTCATCAGTATATCCAGGCACCAAAAATAAGAATCGAGAAACTCAAGCGTCCCCCAAATGAGATCTTTCTACTCTTCCTCTGCTCAGTTATCTGGCTGGTCTGTAGGGATACTTGCAGTTAGAAGAAAAAAAAAAATTAAAAATTGCTGCATCTTTAAAAAAAAAAAAAATCTATTTGCATTGTGCTCTGGAAGAGACAAGGCCGATGTACTCTGATCCTCTATATTCACAAACCTCACAGCTAGAAGCCCCTTACTACAAAATAATCTCAGACCTGAACCTGTAAGCAAGGCAGGAATTTTCAGCAGCAAATAAGGGAAGAGTAGTTGTTGACAGCCTGCTTCCTTAATGTGGTAATAGATAAAAGATGAGTACTCAGTCCCTGAAAACTTTTCCCCATCTGCCTGTCAGAGCAGCTTTCTGAGCTAGTAGTTTGTAAAATACAGATTTCCTAGAGATTAGAGAACTCAGGAAAGTGCTGCTGGTTGTTTTAGGTACAGCTGCAATCAAAGTGCTTCTAAGCTCTAGGCTTTTGTTAGAAATTTGTGCCTACCACTAGTCCCAGTCTGATCTGCTAAACCTGAGCAGGTGAGGAGGTATATGAATTTTAAGTAGAATCAGCATCATCCATGAAAACACAGAAGCTAATAACCTTCACCGAGACAAATACCTTAACAAAAAAGACACTCAGCGCTAGAGAACTAATATCATCTCACTAAAGCTAAACAGTTAAAGTGTAAAATCTGTACGAAAACACCTGAAATTTACTTCTTACTTATTTTCCTTTCTGGAATTGCTGGTGGGGGGAGTGGAGAAGAAAGGAATGAATCACTTCACTGTATCAGTAGTAAGCCATTATATGAAGGCAGTATTGCAGAAAAATTTAAAACCAGGAAAAAATCTGAAAACTTAACTGACTCTGAAAGCTTTCCTCAGCTTCTAAAACTGTAAACAGCCTAAACAGCGGATTTTGTCCACACGTCAAGGTGTATTTCCAGTCTGGAAGATGAACAGACACACAACAGAGGGAAATATCAAGGGAGGAGGACAAACCCACACGCAGGGCACGCCTCCCATATAGCACCTACTTTAATATACCCACGACATGAACAAATCAATCGGGAATTGTTACATCTTGTGCATCAAAAGGCTATAACTAAAGTGTAACAAGATGAAATTAAAGAAAGATTTGGAACTAAGGAAAATCTTTTCCTATGGAACCTCTTCTGCTGAAGACTCCATACCCCTCAAAGAAGTTACATTCAATCATTTGGGAAATGGGAAAAGACTTGAGAGCAACAATCCTGCCTTGGCTTCAGGTGACAAGCTAAGAGTGTTCTTTCTCCTTTAGTATCACAAAGGTTTTTACCATGTAAAAAACCACTGTCTTGCCCTGCTCACTACTGGAGATGCAGTACATGCTAGCAGAACTGAAGTAGAGTAATTTGGTCAACTGTTAAAAGCTGCCTTCTCCATCAGCACAGATATGAGTGTCACTAGTACTGGTATGTTACTTGTAGTTGATGCAGTTATGCCAAAAAAAAAAAGTCTGTAACACAAACTTGTGGACAAACACCGCCATTAGACTGTGAGGTACATGGGTGTGAGCAACCAGCAACTGCAGCTGCAAGTCATTGCTACTTGCTGTCTCTCAGTGCAAGTTTTACCCATTTCTGTGTTCTCTTGCCTTCTCCTGAGCTACAGACTCCAGGGTGAACTATTCTGAAGCCTCACAAACACAGTGGCCACCAGAACACATCTCATAACATTTTAATCCCTTTCAAGGGATCTACAAGGCTGGTTTTGAGATTGTTACTTCTAACTTCAGACCTAGTACTGCACTGACAACATTTTTTATGGCCAAGAACTAGCAAAGCCTGTGCTACATCTGTTCTCACAGAAAACCTTAATTAAAACAAGCGAAGTAACACACAGAGCTGGGCCTAGGCTGCATTCTACCAAGGGCATAATAAAGACATAAGTCACAACTTATCCAATTGACTAATATTTTTCTAATATTCCCCATGGCTACAATTAAGAGAGGTTCACCCAAATTAAATTTAAGCTACAAGTCACAACTGAAAAGTGTGCACTGAAGTCTGGTGTTAGGAACACTGAGGGCCATCCCTTATCAGGCAGCTAGACTTCTATTTTCAAGTGCACAAGAACAGTTCCCTGTCACAGACAATGGAGGCAGATACATGGGAAAAATCATTGGTTAAACCAAGTATTTCCGAGGGGAGGCAAGGTCACTGCTGCCGTGCCCCAGAGAAGGATAAAGAATCATTGAGAGATTAAAACTAAAGGGTTACAAAATAAAGGCAAGAGCTAAAGTTTGCCAGTAATGAAATGCATTCTCCTGTCCTGTATGAACAGGAAACAGTCTCTCTAGGGTGTTAAAGAAGGTCCTAGGAGGAGATATCCTCCTCCTTTTTTCTGCTGCCAG